ACAACGGTGATATCCTTGGTGGCTGCTCTGGCAATGCGTTCAAGGAACTGCAGCCTCCATTCCACCTGCGGCCAGAAGTTCCTCCTAGTGCACTCTCATCTCATTCTTCGCTCTGGCCTTCACCACCTGCCAAAATTCTCGATCGGATTGAGGAACGGAGAGTATGGGCTCAATCTCAGTATGGTTACTCATCGTATCCATCTACTGATGACAGTTTTTCCAGTCCTGTGTGACATGGTGCATTATCACACAGCACGACAACCTGCCGGAGCTCCATCTCCCGTTTCAGGTTGTCTAAATAACTCCGTAGCCATTCGAGAGATAGGTGACCTGTGAATGAACCACTCTGGGTGGTCATCGACATTTTCCCTTCCATCGTGAGTGCACCGATTAAATGCAAATTGTGCCCTCTGCTGTTGGCAACTTTGCAACAGGCCCTCACTCCTCTGGGCGCCCGACCACGAGTACGTTTGCAGTAAACGTTGAAGTTCGCTTCGTGGATCCAAATGAAGAACTTGCCATCGCTACCAAGTTAGACAAACTGCTGAACGAATCGCCTGCGTATCCCTTTGTTTCGCCCGTTGTTCATTCCCTCGGGAAGCTGATGGATGTCCTTCATAGTTATCCATCGACCATCTAGGTGCCGTGCGATTGTTGACTTCGAAATGTCCTTGTCCATTTCTGCTCGTACTCGTACTCGCATTTCCCGTAGCGTAAGAGTTGATTCCCTTGCGATCCAATCCAGGATGTCATCTACGTCTTCCTCCGACAAAATCCGCTTACGACCGTGCGCCTGCGTAGTACTCGACTCCTGATCAAGAGAACGACGAATCCAGGAGTAGGCTGTTTGATATTTGACGTTGTTCACAGTCGCCACAAGTTGCCAGTCATCACGGTTGACGAAAGCGGCCAAAACTCGGTCACGAATGTCTGATGAGATACTTTGTCGAACGCGAGAATGCATGCCGACGAAGTTAGAACCATAGACATGGTTTCGGTCGTGCGCTTATGTTCCAGCTGTTCATTGCTCTCAGACCAATTGTGATCCATCGTTTCGAACGTGAGGGGGGCGCATACAAGCCAGTTGCACCGTCGATGTGCATTCGTCTACGGTTCCTTCACAAGTCTCACCTAGTCAACGGGCAGCGCGTTCACCTCCCCGGACTAACGCACCGAACCTTGGCATCCGGCCAATGAGAACACATTTAAGGTCAGAGGATTGGCTCTGAGCGGCTGGCGATTCGCACAGGGTTTTACAAAATGTTGGACTTTCTTTGCAAAGTTTTGTATTTTCTTTGCAAAATTTTGCACTTTCTTTGCAACATTTTGGACCTTTTGTGCAACTTTGCGGGAAATGCTATAGACATAGTGAACTGGTCCACAAGAATATAGGGAACAGATTGAAAGGGAATCTGCGATTGGCCCATCAGAAGCACTCCACATAGCATGGTGGAAGATTGTCAATATAACACAGAAAAATACTGTATGCTCAATGTACAACAAGGATGCGTGATGAGACACTGCAATGTGGAGGCATTCTGCGGTCCCAAAAGTTAAAACTACGATGGAGGGTCTCGGACACGAAAAGTCAGTTTCGACGACCAAAGCGAAGCCTGGTGGATGTCCAAGTTCGAAGTTACTATACTAATTGTACAACGGGGAAATACGGCAGGGTCCCATGAACGTCGCGGGACTGTAATTCAGACTAAAGGGATAATTAACACTGAAGCAAGGCTTACTGGCAGTCAATCCAAAGAATGTCGATAACAACAGATGAACACAAGAATCCACCGATGCGTCAGGACAACGTGCTGCGGGGAGACTCCGAGACAAGGGTCAGTAGAATGTATACCTAGCTAAGATAGCTGAATAAGATAGATAGATAGTAGTTGATAAGATAGTTGAATAGAACGCCACAAATGTGTTGAAATAAATCATGATAGAAGTCTATTGCACAAAGAACAATTAACAGATGTGTAAAATGGTCCGATAGACAGAAATCACTTAAGCGGCAAAATCCAACAAAGGTAACCTGATTTTGTGACGCAGGGTAGAAAAGATATTCAAAAGTAGAGGATGAAGAATAGTCAGGCTAGGCGCTCATACAGGCCCCAGCTGATAATAGCGATGCCAGATCGGCGTGCCAACCGGAGAGTTAGGCCACGCCACAATCCAGTGAAACCATCACTTTGGTAAACACGCTGGAAGACGGTAAACCAAGGGGGCAGCGGTTGGGCGACGGCGACGTTGCCATGTAGTACACGCCTGGATCGCAAGATAGCGTCGTTTTTGTTAGGAGAGATAAGCATCAACTGGCGTTGGGCACGAAGGACATCGGCCGGCTGGGTGATGCCGGAAGCAAACAGCGCGGAAAGACAAGCACAGAAGGCAAGGGCCTGTGACGGTTGGGCTAGAAGAGAAAATGATCAAAGAGAGGATTGTAGTTATTCAGCAAGGGTAATGTTCGGTCAGGAGTAGTAGGCATATCATATTCAGAGGCTAGTAAATAAAACTAGTGGTCTCATGATCCACCCATTCTAAATACACCAGGAGAGGAAGTTGAGTGTCAAAATTGGAGGAGCTATCGGGTACCGATGAAAACGGAGTACTATAAATAGCCGAAGGGTATCGCGGATGATGCCAGAAACGACTTGCATCAGTAAGACAAGCAGATCATGGTTGGCAGGCATGAATCAGTGCTTGTCTCAAATGAATCCCAGTTTAGAGTCCCAAGGGGAGCAGCGTTGCTCCATTAGTCGGTTTGCTGTTACTTCTTAATCATATCGTTCATTTCATTTGTCAGCTACGAACAGAACACCGAGGACGGCGAAAAGTTGTCTAAGTGAGGAATCAATGTTGAAAGTTGCTTGACAATGTCATAGCTAATGTAGATACTACCCACAGATTCGATGTCCCTTATTCCGTATCAAGGAGACAAAAATATAGCAAACAAGCCTTTCCGTTGGTTTCAACGCGTCTTTTTGTCATCCGTGCAACGGGACACGTGAGCTACAAATAACACGCGGTAATGTAAGTGGGTGGTGTACATTTAGTGAAGGGTCTAGTGCGATGCCAGAGGAATAGGTATTGAACTGAATTCAGTTGTCGTCAGAACCACCATTAGGTCGATGAGCAACAGTTGGCAGAAAGCGGCAGGTAGACAACATTCATGCGATCGACTATGGTCAGGATGACTGCATTTGTGGATACACGAATAAAGAGTATGAGGTGCCGACAAAATTGCCTTTTGATAATCTCCGAACCGTATTAGTTGAAGACACACACGGAAACAACATAGAGGCACTTAATGTCTTGAACACGAGGTAGCTGACTTTGGTGCATCTAGGGACACTGATTGCGCCGCGGTGGGGTGCACTTTGTTTGAGTCGATTGACCGATATCATAGGTCCCGGATGAGGTTAGTGGACGAAAAAACGAAGGCCACTGTCAAAACGTATATCGGCCCTTTTGATATGTGTGAAGTATTACCCATATATGATGGGAACACTGGCTGGGTAACGCTTAGGCCCACACGTTGGGACTTCGATACAGACCACACTTGCAAATGCCAAAGGTTTTGAGGTGGGCCACTCTTCGAATGACTGTCGATCACCTACTCTGGCATGGCCTTTACGATGACATGGCCTAGTGGTTAAACACTGGTGAATCGCAAGAATAACAAAAAATAACAATGGTAAGATGTTGCGATTGAATGCAAATGGAATGTAAAGAAATGGCAAGCAAGAATGAGGTGCGGTAGACTAATCCGGATGAAAGGATAGTTAACAACCAGATGCAAGAAGAGGAATGCGGGAATGCCACTGAATGAGCGGCCGCACCATGTCTGATACGGTCTCCAACCACTGGTTTGGACCATCCCGAGGTCCCCATCAAGGAAGACGGCTTGCACCATCCTGACTAAATCTCTCGGTCAATTTCATTGTACCTCTATGCCACGTCATCGACTGGCTACCTCGCGGTTTCGCCCTACTTGGTACAGCCACGACAAATTGTGCATGCCGAGGAAGCCGATCAAGGGGCATACGGAGGACATGACCTAGCCAACGTAAGCGATTAAGATTCAGTAAACACACGAGTAAGGCACCAGAAGGCTTCTTGCCATAAACCAACTAGCGGCTTCAGCTTTGCCCACTCGGTGTTCCCGCCAGACGTGGGCAATACTTCGCAAGCACTGGTGGTCAAGCAAGACCAAGCGAATAATGTCTTCACCGTGAACTGGACAGGTCTCTGATCAATACGGTAAGATCGGCCTTATTCCAGCGTTGTACACCATACCTTTCACTGACAGGATGGTGTCCTGCCGTCTCCTTAGATTGTTGAGCCTCTGGAAAGCCACACAGGCCTTGCTGATAAGCGAAGTAACCTCAGTGATGTGACCACCAGAGGTGACACAGCTACTACCACTTCCAGTGGCTGTTCGGTGATGGCTAGAACCGGTGGCGTATCGGTTCAGTTAGGTGACACTATCTTGCATTATGAAGGTCCAAAGCACATGCCGAAGCGTCCTCTCCAGTTAAATCAACGACAGTGAACAAGTGACTGGTTGCGCGGACCGATCCAATGGAATGGGTGGCTAGTAGGTAATCGTTTGAAATGATTGAACGGCAACAGAACGCACTATAAGTGTGCGAAACACACTTAGGTCAGAAACAGCGCCAGGTAAGTTGCACAACGGTGTTTATATGGAGTAGGAATGATTTCATTCCAAATACGCCGCCCGCATATTCTCTCATTCTGTCAACCGATCTGTCAGCTGGTAGAGCCCCCAATCAGAATAAAGCAGCCCAAGCATGGTGGCATCATCCGACTTCGGTTAAGAGCTAACACGTGGAATGGAACGAGCAAGACGTAGTTCACTCGTCGTTCTCAACTGATGGTAAACTAGTTACATTTACGCGAAATGAGTAGCTCAGAGAGTCCCGGACTGCTAACCAACTCTAGTAACCGACACAATACAATTTCGCAGTCAATTGGATTCATAGCGCTTTCAAACTCCTCCTTAAGGAAATCATGTTCCTCGACAGATCTCTCAAAATAGTCCATAACGATATCAAGTTGCATCCAACGGGCGCAAACCTTCCTCAAAATGCGTGTTGTTCGTTGAGTGACCAATGCTAAATCAGCCAATAGCATAACAGATGAATACACAGAATAGGTAGCTATTGGCTGTTTTTAAATTTGTCCTCAATGAGACTTCGCGTAGTTGTATGCAATTGGATAGCGTTATGGTCCATCTTGGAAGAGCTATGGAGGAACATGAATTCTTTAAGGTAGTTGAAAGCGCTATGGACGAAATCAACTGAGAAAAGGTACATATATGTTCAACTACTGCATGCTCATGATAAATACACCACCTTGAGTATACGTTCAGCGTCGGACTGCGACATGCAGTCCGAAACGACAGTGATGTGTACTCGGACGTGAACTGGGATTGCATCTAATTTGAAGATCTTAGGAGCGTGACTCGATCCGACGCCTCCGTCGTTATTCATATGCTTCGGATAGGGGAATGCTCTGTGATGTTAGTTGGCAGGATATACGAGCAAAACCGACGTGCGGCCAGTGGACTGTAAGGCCAACCATCATCATCATCGCAAGATGAGCGCGCTTACATTAGCCGCATGAACAGTGAGGAATTGGTTTGTAGTGTTAGGAGTCAAGCACGCTTTTGGTCTCGGATAAAGGTAAGCGAGTTGCTCGCGCGCAACAACGACCCTGAAGGAACGACGCATGGTGGTTGGTCGGCCAAGCGAGCGAGGGTAACAGGAGCTAGCGGGTAAAAAGACAATCAACACCGCCGGCGCAAGCTGATCACGTCTGTACGAACCGGATGAACAGCTCATAATTGGTTTGGGGTATTGTGGACAATGCGTGATTTTGTTCCAGCCATGATAAGTGGCCCAAACAGCAAGGAACGAACGACGAGTGCAGGCCAATGAACTCATGCAGATGGTTAGCAAGTGAGCGTGGTGGAGTAAATTAGCGAGTCAAACCTGTGCATAGTAAAAAATGACCCTTTATTCTATAATGACAGATTTTCGGATCAGTGTGCAGTATACGCATTAGCAGTACGCCGTACCGACGCTTCGCTAACGCGTAACCATCACCGGTCGCGCGTGGGCTAAGGATACTGCGAGGGTCGTCCGGTCCCCTAAGCAGGCTTGAACCGGTGACCTCCGGGTTGCAAGACAGACACTTTGTGCTTTCGGCCACTCTCCGGCTGTTCGGACAGTGAATGATTATGACAAGGTGTTGCCCTCTCCCATATCTTAAGCGGTAGGAGACAAGAATATCGGCTGTTACCTTTCCTTTGTAACCTGGTCATTACCAAAGTTATGGAAACTGAGTTCACTAGACACAAGTTAGAAGGCTGGGAGCTGCTAACAGGTGATCAACTTCTTGACTTGCAGTGTGCACACAATATAGCCTTCATCTGTGACCGTTTAACAAAGTGCCAAGCAGCAATGGAAAAAGTAGCACTGGATACCAGTCGTTTCAGGCTGTCCTGAACCCTCAAAATGTCAAATTTCCTTCAGTTGGCACGGACCACTCTAGGCGTCTACCATTATTTGGGACCAACTAGAAATCGTTCAGAAATTCAACAACCTGGGCAGTTGTATCAGCATCTGCACCAACGTCCAAGTGATCACGTAGTGTACAGAAAAGACGTGTTTTGACTAATCTCCGTCACTAATGGCGCACCGAAAAGTAGAGGTTACAATGCCACCGTCGGTTCAACTACTGTAGGATTGCGAAACCCACCCCATTAGATCGACAGACAAAGATGCGAATCGAGCTCCATCACCGCTGCCTTCGCAGTTTGGCTCATAGCGAGCGGGAGCACGGTGTGAGAATGAGCGTGTTCTGGGTTTCATTTGTGGAGCAGAAATGGTGAGTGAACCACTAAGCACCATTATTTCACGCGCCAAGAGCTGATCGCTGGACTATGTGCTGAGCATGCCAGCACACGGACACCCGCGAAGTGCATTGTCTGCGCGCCCGGAGTCTGGATGGAAGTAGAGGAGGGAAAGTCAACGGATGACTTGGTCAAAAGTAATAAAGTCCCGCACTTCGAAGTCGGCTTCTGTTGGAGTCTCTCGACACCATGGTTGGGAACTTAAAGACGATGAGGACGTTTGGTTGGACATACTTTTCGATATGGCGAAGAACCGATCACAATGGTGTCTGTGTTGTAAGGTTCCCTACTCTACTCCATCCCGCTTAGACTTCCTCTTCAACCACGACCTCGTCGTCAATATAAAACAGGATCACAATAATTTTTGTCATTTTATTTCTTCTTCTTTCTACTTTACAACGCTACCGTGAGATGGATGAAGGAAAAGGAGCAATAGTTCGAGTGGAAGTGCGGGTAACTGGTGGTTGTCGAACGTGGTGCTTATACTTGAAATGGACAGCAAGCTGGCGTTATGCATGAAGCTACGATAACCAGCTGGGAACAGCCTGACTCCACCGCAAAGTAATGTGCGCACCACCGGCCTTCGGGAAATCAATGAACACAGTAACTTAACCAAGCCATGCATCACGTCTATCCGCCTCCAACTAAGAACTGACTTAGATACTGCTGAAAGAAATCAGTTTCTATATCAATTATAAAAAAGGACATCAGGAATGTTCACTGCAGTTGTGGCTTTGTGAAAATGAACGAATTCGATGAGAAGAGAGTTGAGCAGCGGAAGCAGGGTGCGTTTCGTTACCTAGGTTCAGGTTTCATATTTAGCTTCCAGCCCTAAGTAAAATGTTGTTGCGTAATCACTTGTCCCAACCACTTTGGAAAATGTTCAGCTACCCTCTGAGCTAACTGACGGTTTGTTCTGCCTATGTAAATGTCACCGCAACCGCATGTGAACTGATAAACAACGTGAGAGGCCGAACTACCCGATGAGATGCTCTGACGGTTATGAAGAGCAAGTGCTCGCGTGGTATGCCTAAGTCGCAACTGGGCTGTTGTGTAGGTTCGCGTTAGGGCGGACTGGAGATTGCGTCCGAGAGCGTTTGCCACATGGTCACCCTTGAACGGCAAGAACAAATAAACCTCCTTTTTCTCAGCCGTCAACACTGGTGTTTTCACGATGGGAGGTCTGCTGTGTAGCTGAATAAACTTCTCAGGATATCCATTAGAAATTAAGGTCTTGCATAGAAATTCTTTTTCGGCTTGTAACGTTTCGGGGCTGCAAATAGTCTAGTCCGGTAAAAGAAATCCAGATCCTACTACTACATGGTAACATCAATGAGTCGCAGTACAGGCACTTAAAACCGACCGGGACACAGACACCTAGAATGAGAGGCGCTCCCAAGCAGAATTTCCGTTACGTCCGATTATGTGCATGAACAATTCACCTTCTCACAATGTCGCGCGGTGGCTAGCCAAACTATTAGATCCGGTGTGTAAACTCCTCGCTACGTATTGCCCGAAAGACTTTTTGAACTGGCTGAGACCCTGGAACAATTGTCACTGAGTGCAGAGCTTATGTACTCAATAGATGTGGACTCCTTATTCACAAATGTGCCTTTACGTGAGACGGTTGATAATTTATGTGATTTTATCCTGAGTCAGAATATGTCTGTTGGCCTACCAGTGGAGTATTTAAAGGATATGATTCTATTGTGCATCGAGAAGATACTGTTTGCATTTGAGAGGACCGCATACAAACAGGTCGACGTGGTCGCTATGGGCAGCCTCTGGGACCAGTTTTAGCCGACATCTTCCTTGACCTGATAGAAAGACAAGTTGCTGCCAGCATTGGTGAAGCGAAATTGTACAGATGATAGGTGGATGATAATTTAGTCTTCACCAGCGGAGAACATTTTAACGGGCTGCTGACCATCCTAAATTCGATTCGCCCTAAGCTGACAGTATCCCATGAAGTGGAACAACACAATTGCCTGGTGTTTTTGGATATACTCATTAGGAGACGGGCTGAAGGTACGTTGCAGCGCACTGTTCACTGCAAATCGACTTGGACTGGACAGTACCTTCATTTTTCAAACTTCGCCCCGATCGCATACAAACGCGGCTTAGTGAGAAATCTCTTCCACCGGGCTAGACGTATTTGCAGCCCCGAAACGTTACAAGCCGAAGAAAAATTTCTACGCAAGACCTTAATTTCTAGTGGATATCCTGAGAAGTTTATTCAGCTACACAGCAGACCTCCCAGCGTGAAAACACCAGTGTTGACGGCTGAGAAAAAAGAAATTTATTTGTTCTTGCCGTTCAAGGGGGACCATGTGGCAAATGATATCGGACGAAAGCTCCGGTCCGCCCTAACGCGAACCTACACAACAGCCCATTTGCGACTCAGGCATACCACGCGAGCACTTGTTCTTCATAACCGTCAGAGCATCTCGCCGGGTAGTTTGGCGTCTCACGTTGTTTATCAGTTCGCCTGCGGTTGCGGTGACATTTAATTAGGCAGAACAAACCGTCAGTTAGCTCAGAGGGTAGCTGAACATTTGTCAAAGTGGTTGGGGCAAGTGATTACGCAACAACATGGGACGAATCTGAGAATCAATCTAAGTAAAATGGACGATTCCGTTCCGAATGCTTCATTAAGAATACAGGCTCTACTGAGTGACCAACCGAAAGGCTTAGAAGATGAGGATGGCAGAGTCAGACTGGGACTGGACACAGTCCCGATGCAGGTGTCGTTCAGTAACTGAATGTAGAGACTAGTATATTTAGTTGCCTCACAACCATTAAGTACAGAGCACGGCTTCAGGATTAGTTTGGAACGAGATCTACCGTCAAGGGCAGAGGAGGCCCGCCACAACATAACACGATAGATATATCTGGGTACCTGGCAATTATTCAAAATACTTGCAATTCAGGATGCAGTGAGGGGGTTGGGTGGCCCTGTAAACTGGGTATGTGGCTGCGAACATGTCATCATTAGATTAGGAAACAACATCAGTCGAATATCAAGGAAAGTAAATGAAGGACCTCGTTGAAAACACACAAGAGGTTGAAGTAGGTGTCAACAGGACGAGGTTCGCGTACCCATTAAATGCTCCGCTATCATCGGAGACGAGGAGATACCAATTCGTCGGAGCGCATACAAAGTTGCAGCGCAAAGCTGATGTCTGGCGGATTCATCGGGGGACTATGTATGCAGAGATTCGTTGGGTCCGATGTCAGCAATACTTAAGCTGGCGCTGTCGCACACCAACGTCAAGCAGGGATCCGATAACTCGTTTGGATCATAATATCCGGACGCGCATTGCTTGCCTGACATAGAATGTTCATAATTGAGCATGAGCATAGGTGACCGAAAAGCCAAACTATCAAGAAAGTGATACCGAGAGAAAAGCTTGATGAAGTCGATGAAAAGGGTTGGACGTCGTGATGAATATCGCGCTTGTAGAGTAATAGTATGGAAAGAGGGGACCAGAAGCTCGATATCCCAAGTTGCAAGACAACATCGGTGACGTTCATATGAAGCGATTATCATTCAGCTATACACAGAGAAGAAAACCGGGAAGACGACATGAACCAAGAATCATTGGCCAGAATTACAAACCTCACATATGTTGACACACATATGCACCTCTACCTACAAGCTAAAATGAAAACCGTATCAACAACTTCGAAGCGGCTGTGTCATTATTGATCCAATGCTCGGTGCCTATTAATGCGACGCGCAAATTTCACATTTTTTGTCCAGTGTGCGGCACATTGACAAGTCGCTGGAGTTCACAGTGCAGAAAACTGCAAAGTTCATAACCGAGTATTGTTCAGAGCCAAGACGGGTAACGTATTCTGTCCATTATAAATATCGCCTTAAAGTAAATCCTTTAGTGGCCTCATTTCGCTCCGCCGTGGTTAATTTTTACAACGACAGCGGTATGAGCTGCTTTGTCTAGAAATGAAGCACATCGATGCATGGATATGAGTCTTACGCTTAGCACAGGACAGACTTGGTGATTCAAAAATGGGCGATCGTCACCCCAGCAGCAGGGCGAGAAGGATTACTTGGAACATAGGATACTAAATCACAGCAGACTGGGTACCTGAAGACGAAGTCGCCTGACCAGAGGGACAAACATTGCTCTTGATAGCAGAGTAAGCCATGAAGTAAAAGCCGGAGTAAGGCGCGTCACGGGCGATTGTGGCTACAACACCGCTATACAGACCTGTTAGTAAAGAGAAGGTAAGTAAAAAGAAGCAATGAGGCGGCAAAATGGATTAATACCAGATTGGTGAATTGAAATGTAAACGTACTCGTTGTCATACATAGTGGGCTGTGTATGAGATTCTGTGAGCGGAATACTACTGCTCATTCAAAGGATGGACTTGGTTAAAAATCAACGGTGGCTGAATGACCTACATCAGCAAAAACGCAAAATACAGTTTATGGCCCTCAGAGCATCGGACAAGACAGACAGTACAAGCAGCCTGAGATGGAACTAAGAACGCGTCAGATCGAAACTCGAAGCCATCAAATCGTAATGCTTGAGATAACATTCGGTCAGAAACAGCTGAAAAACAGGCCACAATAAGAAATTGTTTGAGGAAAGGATTGCGGCACAATAGCCGAAGTGTTTTCCACCTCTACCTAACGTGCATGATGGTGAGGCAATGATGAGGCAACACATACGAAACAGCTCCCACATGGTATTTGCTATTTTATTCTACAATAAACCGAATTCTGCGAAAACAACGTCCTCCCTGGTAAACGGATGCACATAAAACGTGCCCAAGCCATCAAAAATAATTTAACCTTGTTTCTCCGTCAAATGAACCAAAGTGGATACAACAAAATGGACTGATCGCGGCGTGGTGGTTTGCGAACCCTGACGATTCAATGACCGACACAAAGTGGGGTCCCCGAGCGCTTTAACTGTTACTCTTACCAGAGTGGTCAATGATAAGAGATCAAATAAATTCAGCCTCGTAGTGTCCCAGGTTGGGAGCCACAATTGGCGTAATACTCAGTTCAGTAAAGTTGGTCCATCTTATGATCCGCTGCCAAGCTTCCGATATTTTAAAATCTGTCCTCTGAGCCAATGGTGCAGACATGAACCCTGATCATTCGCAGTTTGGGTGCCGCTGTGGTAGTTAAGCACACGTATGGCTATGACATAACCGTTGATTGTCGGGTTCTGGAGCACTCACCGTGTGGTTTAGATTGTGACACGCAACCCGAATTGTGGCCTCAGTTGACTATGAAGACAAATTCTGTCGTTCCGATCACTGGGACTGTATGCAACCGAAGTGGAGGGTTTCGGTGTGGCTCTCTCCCATCCCTGCACTCCATGATCGACGGTTTCGTCCTGGTTTGAACTCATCAGGTAGAGATAACCTGACCTGGGAGTGGAACTCGGCGAATAGTGCTTAGCGGTTATCCCTATGATCAATAGGCCATTAAGCTTCGCGAGCACAGCTTGACATAGCGGTTAGAATTTGATTTGGAGCAACTGTCATGTGTTTGGGATTCCAACACGCAATCGCATTTGTGGCCTAGATTGACTTTGAAGTCAGCCTTTGCCATTCCGATCACTGAGACCGTATCCGAAGTAAAGGGCTTCGGTGTTTCTCTGTCCCATCACCGCATTTCATCTTCGAGCATCTTATACTCGCACGGATAATCAAATCGGCCGATATGTCACACTCGCCATGATTTCACACACCATCCGGATTGATGTGTGATGTGTCCCTGAAACACGTCTACAAAAACCCAAAACCTTAATGCAGCTCCAACTATTAGGATAGGAATACAGTGACATATAGCTTTTTCGTAACAATGTTAACTCTGAGTCAATGAACGATGCTACAGTTTTACCCAGTAGAAATGCTTAAACTAATCTCGGCGAATAGGCACAGTGTGCATCGGCTTCAAACATTCACTGACGGTGTGTTGCGCTATTATTGATTATGTGTACATCACTAATGACTGTAGCCAGAAGATTGCAAGTATCCGTAGTCACGTCTGTTTTTCTGTGACTCACTATTCTCTCTATGATGGTTTGACGACAGGCGTCATGGGAATGGGATTCAATGGACTTCCATGAAAAAGTTACAGTGAACTGGACCGTGAGGATATGATGAAAGAAGTAGACATCGACGACAGTATAGATAGATCTAAGTCTAGCCGGGTATCGATTCCGACTCTGGTTAAACTGAACTGAGAAAGATGAGCGAGTACAGGGGTATGCTTGAAGATGAAACGTGTTGACGCAACAGTAGCCCAAGAAATAGAATGAAGATCGGTAGAACAAGGTGTCGTGTGATGTAAGCACAACACGTACAGCTCAGAAGGGGATTGACTGACCTCGTAACCCCGATTGCCGGTAGACACGCTCAAGTGTGGGCAAGAGGGAATGACTTGCGTAACTGCCCGATTCTATCTGAGTTTTGGCAACCAAGAAAGGATTCAGCGCTAGTGCCATCACGCTTCTGGCAATAAACCCAACAGTGAAATTGTGCATCGGTTCCAGCACCTTGAGATGACCAGTCCAGTAGTGTTTGTAACTGGAGGAAAATAGAGGGCAGTAACTTGCTAGGGAAAAAAGGCCCGTTCGAGAAATAAATACTCAACTCAACGTGCAGAAAATACAGAACAGTCGTATGGAGGATATGAGTGGAAAAATGGAAACACAGTATCTAAGGTTGAGCGCAAGGATAGCTGTCGCTGTACTACCAGACCTATCTGTGGAGCAATACCCTTAGCCTGTACGGTGCACACTCGACGGATGGAGCGCGGACACCCGACAAGGAACATGCAGGGGAAAGTGTACTCAACAAAGTGACCAATAAACATTCGTCCAATCAAGCGACAGCGATAGGCCGCGACATTTGTGCATGACTGTTGAGTACACGACACCAGTCATGATCTTTAAATCTTGCTCACGATTGAACTAAAATGGAACGGTCCATATAAGTAGCTTCCAGGTGGTACCGGCCGGCCCGACTGATGAGGTAAGTAGGGCGGCAGCAGTGCACTGGCAAAGTAAACTGACGCTCGGCTGCTACAAGGCCACAAGCAATCCCATATAGAGAGAGAGATAGACAGTCAGCTGTACGCTGCAACGGCGCCTCGCTGCCACGTGACCACCATCAGTTGCGCGTAGGCTAAGTATACAGCGAGCAGGCTCGTTTCTACGCGGATTCGAATCGGTGACCTTATGATGGTGTTACGGGAACAATTATTAGACTTACAGTTTTTGGAAAACACTTGTTTACAGATTTGTTTCTTTCCGCTATCACTGTTACTGACATTCAAAAGCATCATTTCGCCAAGTTCATTGGCTGCTTGTGGTCACTGTTTGTGCTCTCGGATCGCACTTCCACTTGGCTGCTAACACTTTTCGTTCGTTGTATGCTCCTTATTGGTTCCTTTATTGAGCAGTACCCATTGGCTTCATTCTGTTGCATGTCTTCAGCGATATGGTTGGCTTGAATGTCCTTTAGCAGTTTCCACTCGGCCCATTCTCAAAACTATTTCAACAGACATAATTCAATGCATACGATTCTTTTTCGGCTGTTCTTTGGAGTTCTTCTTGCGGTGGTGGGGCGGAGGCGTTCTCTGGCGACAATACAGTTTACATGTCAGGCGTGCAGACTACTCGACCACTGGTTATATGAGTTAGGGATACAGCTAGGTGGCGCACACGCACGTGCGCTCAAATCGGCAGCCCGTGAACTACACACCAGACACCTGAACCACGTGGTCACCGGCCTTTAAAATTTCTGCGGCTGATGGTGAGTTTAGCGAAACGCTTTTTTTACCCTGAAGTGATTTCTGATATTGTTTCATATCAGGATAGTGTCCGCATCAATGGTAACACGATGGGATCTGTATACAGCATCACACTCAGAGAATGAATAAGACAAGATGAAAAGAGAAAAAACGGGGCCACTCGATGCAGAGGGGCTATGAGAAGACGGCAGCAAAAACGATTCAGAGTAATAACGACTAGTTCGTCGAGTAAGTCGATGAAATGACAGGGCACACTTAAGACAGCCTCATTAAGCTGTTCAACCTCTGCTGAACAACACTTCTGATAAAACAATTAATGAACGGAGATTCGAAAAGGTTGGGTTTGGCTCGTTGATGACAATTCGAAACGCAGATGCTCAACTCACGTATGCAACACAGTATAACGCAAAGAAATGAAGGGAAAAATGCGAAAATCAAACAAAAACGTTGAGAAGACAAAGATGGGATTGTCGGGTAGATGAAAGGAGATACGAAGGGCAAAGAGCAAGAAGGGGTTTCAAATCGCCGAATTGATGGATCGCATGTTTTCTATACAAGAAGACCGATACCAGTGAGATTCACACTTTAAATCACTATCTTCAAGCTGATCAAGTTGTACCCTTCTGTAAGTGTGGAGCTCCGCTCAAACAAATGTAGCAGTGAACAGCCACGAGTCCATGGGTGTGGAATGAAGTGATTCGACATGTGCATGCGGTCCAGGTTAAGCAGATGATCGGATCAGTTGACGGACGCTAACTACTGAGTATTCAGTTAGACTACTATAGTCCGGGAACAAAAGTGTGGTGGGTCCAGTCGCCATGACCCTCGTCTCCATGGTAATGATAAATAACATTGGTGAGGAAATGAAATAGAAAACAAACGGAATACAAAAACGGAAGTAGGTAGATTAGATCTGAGTAAAATGAATCCGCTAGAATATTAACAGCTAGACGCAAGAAATCGGATGGAGAAACGCCACTATGCGCTATGTTCGACAATCCCTAGCCACCAATGTGGACTATCCCGAGGCCTGACGAAATCGGTCGATCAACTTCTTCATGCCTTTATGCTAAATCATGGATTGGCGGCCACCTCGCGGTTGCACCCGATTTCATGCTGCGACAACACATGGCGCACGCCGAGGAATCCGGTCAACGGGCATGCGGAGGACATGACCTAGCCACCGTAAGCGGTTCAAATGTAACAAGTACACCAGTGAGGCAACAGCGTGTTTTCCACCAAACACCAACCAGCGAACCATATCATCGCTCACCCGGTGTTCTCACCATATGTAAGCAACACTCCACAAGCACCGATGGCCGAAAACGATCAATCATGTCTTCACTGAGAACTAGCCATGTCTCTAATCCAAACAATCGCACCAAGTTTATTGCAGCGTTACACGCTCTACCTTTTACTGACAGACTGATATCCCACCTACTCCATAGATGGTGGAGTCTCTGGAAAGCCACATTGACTTTGCTGATACGCGAAGCAACCTTCTCAGTGATTTGGCCACCAGAGGTGACAGAGCTATCAAGGCAAATGAGCCGATCCACCATTTCCAGTGGCTGTTCGCTGATAGTTAGAACATGTGGTGTGTCGACCCACTCCTGCGACAATACTTTGCAAAGCATATGCCGAAGTGTGCAGCCCTACTCATCAGCCTATTTAGTAGTGCTGGCATAGCCACCGCATCAGACCCAAGGAGATCTATGCTATTTGCACACTCAAGATTTGTCAGCGATCACCTTGTAGAACTTCCACCCCTGAAGAGCCTGAAGTGACGGAGCGTTTTGTGATCATTTCGATCACAAAGTTGGAGATGAAAGGAGATAAGGGTAACCCTGTCGAACCCCATTTGTGTTGAGAGTCTCAGGAGGTAGCTTCCCGTAGACCCATATGCGGCGGAGTCGGGCGCCACGGTAGAGAGTTCGGAATAGAAAGCAGCTTCCATGATCCGCCATTCACGGATAGGCAGCACAGTCAACGGAGTCAAATGCAGCGTTCGGGTCAAGGAAAACTACCGCCGCGTCTGTTATAACACCTGACGAAGAGTGAATCTGCGGTCAATGCGATCCCAAGCAGGGTGGAAGCCAGGTTTGCCTTCGATGATTCGGCCCTCCCGAGGAAAAGTAAACCCTAGAAAAATGATACATGTGGGAAGTTTGGAGGCAATGTAAAGAAGGCAAATGTCCCTAAGATTTCCGCATAAAGTTCTTTGGCTTTTTGAAAGATAGGCACGACAGTTGACAGTCCCAAGTAGTATGGAAAACAGTGGCAATTCCGGTCGACAGTCATCTTCACATTTCAGCAAAAAGTGGGGAAGGTTGGGTCCGAGGGCTTCGTTCGGTTTCAACACAGCGGATTCCTGTCGAGTCTCTTCCAAATTTGGAGATGTGACATCACGTACTCAAGTGACTTCAAGTGATTCGACGAGCGGCAGTGTCGCACTAGGCCTACTGCGAACTGCTCTTCAAAATGTTCCGCCCAACGGGCTAAACGGCGAGGATAAGAATGGATCAAACATCCATTTTCTCAGCTATTGTCTCACCAAATGAGGGCTTTCTCAGACCAGTTTCAGATAAGCAGGTACAGTACTCAGCTGTTCCCAATGGCACTGGTCTTATCTATCTTAGGACACTTACTACCCATTGATTTTCACAGTCAATTCGAAAACGCTTCGTCAGTCCACGTTTCAGTGTTATGGACATACTGAAACGCTGTCCCATACGGAAGTTGTCCGCATGCTTCGAGCAAGCTGTTCGATGCACCAGAAATTCATCTACAGTTAGGACGTCACAAGTTAGAGGTACAGCAAGCAACAAAAGCATTGCTCATGGCGGGTTTAAGAAGATTCCAGTCAGTATTCGGTTCACTGACCTTATTCATCATTGAAAAATGGTGAACGAGTTCGTAGGGATAGTACTGCTTTGATGGCAGACTATGAATCCAAGTTACAAACGAAAAACCTGGTTGAAACAGTTAGAGTGACAGCCAGGCCTGCGCGCATTCTAGCGTGATCGGAATACAGACAGATACTACAAATTGACCGACAGTCTTGAACTAATGTGCGCTATCTGTAGCTGATGGCAATATGGCCAATTTGGATCCAGGCCACTGAGAAATTTGGTGGGCGGGAGATAGCACGATGTGACGTTTGTGTTAGAAAGCAACGATGTAAATATAATGTTGAGCACACAGTTGCAGGAATCAGTAGATATTGTCCGTTTGGCGAGTATTGACTGCGAGACGGCCTCCTAGACGTGTTTAGAGTCTAAAAGCCGACCAAATTGGACATTCAAGTCACCAATAACAATCATGATGTCAGTATTCTGTCATGGGGACAAGAGACGAGCGAGTGTTGACGACGAAAAGTAATCTTTCATACCCTCCGAGTTGAAGTTAGTAGGGGCTTACACAAAAATGAGGAGAAAGTACCTTGTCTTCAAACGATACTTATCAAGGTGTTGACTAGTTCACGAAGCTGGGCCATTTGCGTGCAGACGTTTCGTCACCAATGGAGGTGACATTCAATGTGTATTGGTATTGGCTTTGTTGGTAGGCAAGAAGAGTCAAGTAAATCCGGAGAATGTTTGTTAACCCTAATGGAGGTTCGGAGTGGAACTGCACACATGCGGATGTTCACTGGTATCCAGCTGAGCTGAGTGTCTACAGCTAAGGACGATGACAACACCGTAATTACCTTGACTCAATCACTCTGTATTGCCAGAGACACGAAGTGTGGTCGTTGTCAGCAGAGTTTGAAACAGAGAGGCGGAAATACGTCACGACGCTGTTATCTTGTATGCGTGTTTCAGAGACAGCACATATAAATACCAGGAGAGTGGAGAGTGAGAGTTAACGCTGCCTGTTGGCCGATCTGACCCAGAGTGCACACGTTAAAAGAACCAATGTGGAACAAGAAAACCTTGGTTTGAAGGGGGATTTACGTGCGTCATTAGTACTAGCTGTGAAGTCAGTTGCAGAAGAGAGGAGTTTCAAGGAAAATAAAGATAATAAATCAGATGCCACTTTCCGGCTTTGCATTTCAAGAGGGGCTTTGTTGGATACGAACTACCTCTAGCCGCTGACTCACCAGCTTGACCCCTAAGCTTGAGGAAAGGAAGTGCAGCTCGGGAGTGTGATTTCCGAGTCCTGTTGGGATCTACTTCGGGCCTGCCATTTGCAATCGTGAAGAGTTGGAAAAGTTCACATGTTTTTCGGCCGTAGTGTGTTACGCCCCTGTGACAGCGGTCAACTGTAGGTGAGAATTTACGGGTTTGCATTCATTTGACTAGGGTCTATCTTGCTTGAGACTGGTGGTAGCAAATAACTGAGAACCGGATGGTACATTACTACCGATGCATGAAATGACACTAAATAAACGATCGTTGATTTTAAATTACTTGCTTTTCTTTTAGTTTTTGTAGCCTGTAGTGTTTAGTAATTTATCTTTTTGTGTTGTGGCACACTAGCTGAGGTGCGTTGTTCATCCTTAACAATCGTGTAATGATGATGACTGATGACCATCAGAGACATCGCATAGCAATTCTGCTCTACGCACACGGTTAGCAACAAGCTGTCCCCTTGGGTTAAGGTTTGAACGAAGAAGGAAATCTGCTTCTCGCCAACTTAAGAATAGAGTGCTGAGAGCGAGTTGGTCTGACCCCTAACCATCGACCTGTTTTGTATGAGTGACTTTGAAGGAACTTGGAAAGTACCACCTAGTGTGGCTCAATTGGTCACGGAGGTACGGAAATTATTGCACCACGTTAAAATCGTGTTGCCATGGACTGGTAAATATTAGCGTAAATGACCAGGCATGCGCATCCAATATGGGCAAGGTTCCGTAGGGCGCTGATTCATCAATGTCTTCAGAAGGCCGTGGTCACGTCTCTGGTTAACATATTATCGTCTGATGTAAAAAATGCTGAACAATACATTGACTAACGGAGTGATATCACTAAATGTAATGAAAAAGTAAGGAATGTCAAATAGGGTAAAACACAATGCTGAGAAAACTAGTTGCGCTGAGCTATAAGGAACGTAGGAGACAGGCGATCAAGAGTGTTACACAGCACTCAGGACCAGAAACGTCGTGCAGAGGATAGCTATAACAAAAATACCATAGATAGCGAGCTTACTGTCCAGTAACTTTCTCCAAAGTACCCAGACAAAGAAAATATCCCCCGATTCCCGGTACGCATCGCCAAAGGGATGCAACTGTTCCGACCCAAAAATTAAGCAATCTGCCCAACTGAAATGGTGAGTGGCGGCTGGGCCCATGACGGAAGACGGAGATGATAGTGCGAAGAATTCCCGGGTTAGGGTTCCTAGTGATCAAGTGGAAATAGAAAGGATAGTTTTTGCCGTGAAATTTGTTAGGATTTCGGTAAAACTGATACACCTCCGTTTGATGATCAACAAAACCATCCAAAGAGTCATTAATTAGCACCAAAAAGTATTCCAGTTTTCACAAAGACAGAAGGCCGATAAAACCATTACACCACGATACAAACACGGAGTGCGGTTGACCCAGTTGTTACGACATGTGGCACCAGAAAGAAAATAATTGACAATGGTGGGGATACATGTGGAATAAACGTGTGGAATAATTAAAGGTCACAAAAAGGGAAACATATAAAATGTAGTTCTTTTTTATCCTTCAGACGCTGTTTTGTCATTTATTCCAAATTAGCGATTGTGATGTTAAATCAAGGAATGAATCCATAAAGTGCTTCCATTAAACCAGATTGCGCGCCACGTCCTCAAGGATTTCCAGCCAGTAGTGTTCTTTATCCTAGGATTCACAGCCTGGAAGACTCAACAGGACCGAGGATAGTTAAACTAGAACACAGCGTTTTGCTCATTTGTCGCAACTTCTTTGTTAAATCTTTTCACTTGCTGCAATTCCGAAACTTGCACTTAATCTACTCCACACGACCACAAACCAAAACAAAGGAAAAAGTCAGAATAACCATGCCCAAAATAATGTGTTAACAGCAGTCAAACAGGAGCTGAACGAGCAGAACCCCTTCGTGACCCGGTACTCAAGGTAGTCGCACAATTCAACACGACCAGTTGGCCACACACATGTTCATCAGCCGAATTGTGGCAGTACTACCAAAAGGAGGCATGTGATCTCCATTGTGGACGGCTGCATATTGTTATCGGAACGTGCTGTCATCCCCAAGGCAGTACAAAAGCTCGTACTTAGGCAGTTCCATGCTAGACATTCTGGTGTCAACCGGATGAAGGCGCTTGCCCGAAGCTTTGTGTACTGGCCATGGACAGACAACTGGAAGAAATGGCTAAAAGTTGCCACAAGTGCGCTGCTGCTTCAAGGGCACCAGTAAAGACGGAACTACATTCATGGCCGAAGCCAACGCGACCATGGTGCCGCGTCCACGTCGATTTCGCAGGATCAATCAACGGCCAAGGTTTTGTCATTGCTGTCGACTATTACAGCAAATAGCCTGAATTGTTCCTGATGAACAGCAAATCGACCCAGGCAACCGCCACAAAACTACGGTAAATCTTCGCCAGATTCGGTTGTCCACAAACACTTGTAACTGATAACAGTACACAGTTCACCTCAGCACTTTTCACGGAGTGCTGCAGACAATGCGCACAATCCTGCACATCCGCTCACCGTCCTTTTCACCCACAATAGAATGGCCAGACAGAGAGGTTCGTCTATACTTTCAAGCGAGCTCTCCTCAAAGCGAAGGAGGAAGGACGTATAGAGGAGGTGAATGACCGATTCCTCTTCCTATACCGATCAACACCAAACCCACAAGTGCCGGGTGGAGTCTCGCCAGTACAGGCCATGATAAACAGAAAGCTGCGTATGCCATTCGACCAAGCCCACTGCCTTCTGTTGGTGGAAGAAACCGCAAAATGGAACGGAAGTTTAACCGGCGGCATGGGGTTAAGCAACGATCGTTTATGCCAGGGCAGACAGTGCGGGACTATCGGGCAGGTCACGCAAGTTGGACACCTGGTACGATCAAAGGCAAGCGCGGGAATGTCATGTATGAAGTGATCGTGAGGACGCAGGCCTGGCTTCACCATAAACTAAATATGGCCAACGCTGTGCCAACCAGAGGAAGTAAAGCCTGCCGAACTTCCGGTTGACTTGTTGGTAGAGCTTCAACCTGCCAAAGGGGCCTATATCGCATGGCTATCAGTCCAGTAACGAAAATGCACCACAGACCAGTTTCTCGCGCACATCAGTAGAGCCGATGGACCGACAGAATTCGAACACCGTCCAGGAGACTACAAGTCAATCCCAGGCTTTCTTCATACATCGTAGAGCCTATCTCAGGAGGGATGTCCGGCAGAAATTAAGAATTTTCCGGAAAATCCATTATTGCAGCGATAATCGATTGTCAAGGATTATCGCATCGATTTGGAATGTTCTGGAAAGTTCTAAAGCCAGCACGTGACTAAATACCTTCCTGAAGATCGGGCAGATCTATGGGGAACAACTAACCTTGGTATTTGACCTTCTAATACTAGAAGCCAAAGGTCATGAGGCGACCTATAAATGTGACCATGGTCTGCCACTTTTGTACAGCTCCCGTTTGACTGCGTTCAACAGGTTATTTTGGGCAAGGTAGTTCTAACTTTTTCCTTTGTTTGGGTTTGTGGACTGTGGAATAGATTAAATGCAAGTTTCGGAATTGCAGCGCGAGAAGATGTAACATTTTTCAAGTGCAGCTCTGTGCGAGCGAACAGAGCCCGACGTGGCAAGCGCTCGCACAGCACGCGCAGGACGTGACCAAGCTATCTTGGCGAAACGATACTGGCCTGTAGAGAGCGGGTCTGTATTGCTCATAACGCAGCGTTTAAAATCGTCGTTGTAAGCGTGGTGTTCCTACCAGGAAAGTAGTTCGCAAAGAAGAGAGATTCAAAAAAGGGCAAGATAAATCGGTTTGGGAAATTAACTGATAGGCGCAAGAGACCAAACGCTGAAGCGAAATTGAACCCGTAACTGTGGCGCATCTCGCAAGATTTACACCAACTGGGGGAGCCAATTCCCAAGTCCCCATCCACAAAGATGCTACACAACAGCTCGAAAACTTCTCCATGTATTGCTGCCATGACCTAGACTAGCCGCCAAGTGATTTCATTCAACGCCGTGAAATGATGGCATACAATACACGCCGAGAGAGGCGGTCAATAAGCATAGAAAAACAATCGAAGGTAAGTGATTTAAGTTTGTTGAACGATCCAGTGAGATATTAGAGGGTCAGTTTGCTAACACCAAACGGAGAACTTAGGTAGCGGGCATCAGGCACTCCTATTATCAAAGATGATCGGTTTCTTAACGTATTCGCACAAAATGGCCATTTTACTAGGCAATAAACTAGTATGAAAGATGTACTGTGAAATTAGTCAAAAGAATGGCAACCAGCTTTTGATAGTTAAATTACTTGAAACAATTAGTTCCCGAGGAGACTTTTAGCAGAAAAATTAACACAAGAGTGCCGCACGATTTAATTCCGGAATAATTTCTCTGCATATTTTCAAGTGCGCACTACAGATGTGTGAATATATAGCATCATGAAAGGAGCGCAGTTAAAACGGCAAATTGACCAAACTATGTGGTTGGCGGCATCCGGTTTCGGATTTGCCTGTCACTGTGGCCAGCCACAGGACGCCTGCGCCTACAGAGGGGCCACGGGTGGCTTGCGCTGCACCACCCACAGCTCCAACCACACACCCCATATCCAATGTAAACCCGAAGGAATAAGACCGGGAGGCATGTGGATGGGAGCCACGTTTCATCAACGGAGCCGGCCCACACTCCTTCACAGGCAAACACAAGCACCAAACTATACACACCTAGATTCATGTCACTTTGTCATCTGTGCCCGGCCTGCTACCACGGCAAGGCCAGGGTCACAAATGCGTCTTTCTGCACACACAGAGTTGGGCCGAGTTGTTTGATATCCACGGCCTCAGCATTTAGATTACTGCTGAGTTCTGAATTGCTCCTCATATGTTACAATATCGCTTTGGATATAACTTGTTTGACGTTTGCGATTACAGATCGGAGCCGCCATCTCTCACATGTTTACACATGAGTCAGATAGGAGAATAATTCAAGGAGCAAAACCACTAAGTTGTTGGAAGGAATTAGGCCTATATCGAAGATGAAGCTTTAGCAATTATCATTGCAATTAAGATGCTTTATAAAAGGCTTTACAGACGTCATTTTACACTAATAACAGATCACAACTCCGGTCTGGGTATCTCTTCAGGTCCAATAAAGGCACCCCAATTTGTACGGTTAATCCGATTCCACGACGCGCCACTACGCTCCCGCGCTATGAGCTGTCCATAACAGTTGACTGAAGACATCAGTCAGACAAACGTTTTGTCAAGACTCATGGAATCTTAATGTAAACAAGCTGAAGACACCATTGTTGCGTCGGTATCCGCAGCTAGCCAGCTCAATTCATGCATTGCCAATTACTTCTGATAAGAGAAGAGTCCACTGCTCGTGATCCGTTAGTACAATAAGTTATTCGTTTTCATCGCACTTACTTGCTGTTATCGTGCTCTTCTCAATAACTACAACTGTTCTACCAATCCGCCCACTTTGGCAGAGGTCGGTGGGTTTACTCTCTTTGCCGTGTTGTGGTGACTGCGAATGTGACTGCATGAATGTGTTTTGGAGTAACTGCAATTCAAGCGCTTTTGGATAAATCGTGTGTAAGTATTAGTCCATAATGTGTATACTGGCCGAATATGGATAAGCAGCTGGAAAAACTTGTTCAACCCTGTCCCAAACGTCAACTGTTTGCAAAACCTTCTCGCAAAACGGAGTCGTGCCCATATCCTGTACCAGATTCCGTTCAGTCATGAATTTATGTTGAGTTTGCCGGGTCAGTGAATGGCTAGAACCATTCGCTCCTGATTGATGTCCATGGGAAACGACTAGAAGTCATCAGCATTGGTTGTACCATATTTAGCACTATAATCCTAAAGCTCCACTAAACCGTAGCCTTAAAAATCACAGTGCTGCCCTGTAAAATGAAGGCACACATTAGAGCCTGCGTAGGGACCGGGCGACCCTCGCAGTATCCTTTCTCCACGTGGGACCGGTAGTGGCTGCACAGCAGCGAAGCGTCGGTACTGTGTACCGGCTGCTGCCTTCTCCTCCTCCTCATCCTCCTCCCCAAAGCCCCAGCATTTGTTCAGTCGTTTTCGGATTCCATATACTCTATTCTGACAACGGTTCAGTGTTCTGTCGAATTTCCCGCGTTTTGTGAATAAAACAGCACTCAACACATCCGATCGCCACTATTACACCCACGGCCAAGTAGTACGACTTGTGGACATATCCACCTGACCACTAATAAGACTCAAATGTAAATCAACGAAATCTTCTTGCTGAGTTACAGAACAACGCCAAATAGCGATATACTATGTGGAAACCCATCAACAGAAGCTGTGATGAACAGGAAGTTACGCTTACTTGCCAACGTCATCTGTCCAGTCTCATGTTTGCCGATCTGTCGAGACATGCGTATAGACAATCGGTTCGGCTGTCAACACGGTGCCATAAATCGCACGTTTCACACCGTTCAATTCGTGTTGGCTAAGGATTATTGTGATTGTGTCGAAAAGCGGATACAGGGTTTAATTGCGCGCCGCTCTGGATAGGTTACCTATGAAGATAATGTACATTCCATACTATTGACCGGTAGCTGAAGGGATAACGCGTCAGCGTGGTAACCCAAAGGTGACCGGTTAGAATCTGCATAGATCCCAGAGGCCATGTAGTATTCCTAGCCCGCACGCGGCTGATGTTCGCTTGGCAGCGAAGTGTCGATATGATTGAGCGGCGTACCATTGATGTCCTGTTCTTTGAAGCTCTCACTTAGGGTCCACTATACCTACCAGTTGCGTATGTATCCCTGTCAAACAAAAACGTCACACGATCCTGTACTTCCGATTGACTCTTCTTCGGATAATTTCGAGCTCTCTCAAAAATCAAAACCTCAAGACGAGACTATTAAACAGGTCACTTCAGTCGATTGTACGCTTAGAAGCAGGATTCACGGTAACAAATACACGAACATTCATACCCAAAGGGTGTTAAGATGGCTGCCTCCAAACGAATTTATTCATTTCACTTTTATGTTCATTAACTGCAAAATTCTTTCCGTCTTCTCAGATCGTCCATGACCTTATCCCACCTTTCCACTGTTCGAACATAGTTACGCCAGGTCATCTTACTCGGTGACACGTGCTTCATCGGCGGTCTCCTCACCTTCCGTGTTGTTGGCTGTTTCGTCGATTGATCGGCATCACGAGCATAACAGATAGGTCACAGTCGCATCAAGAACAAGGGAAGTGGAAAGTAGCGGAAGCTACGCGAAACTTAGAGTAGAGGGGCAGCTAACCCGAATGATTAGATTATGAATGTATGAGAGGTGAGAAATGCGCAACAACGAAAACTCTTGAAAGCAGAGGTGTATTGTTCTTCCGGTACTAAGGTAAAAGAAAAAAGGCACCAGTAGCGCGCCGGCACACTGTGTCGGCGCTTCGTTGCCCCGCGTGGGCCGGGTGCAATATGCGTCCGGTTAGGGATTCCGAGTGCTTCCGCGTCCAATGTGTGCGTAGATCGTAGTAGACCTAGGGGGCTACAATGGAAACAAATACATCGTAGGAGGTTGGATGAGTAAGAGGCCACAATGGATGTGCCGCTGGCCAACACCTCGCGGTGAGCCGGATGCCGGTGTCACAACTGCTGAATGAGCTGAATGGTTAAAAAGAACTAACACTGTAAAGAGAAAGGAAAGCGACAATCGAAACTTAATAGCGTTTTTATATTCTAGCTTTCAACAAAGATATGTTCGGCGCTGCTACACTATGGATACTTAGGTTACGTGCACCACCGAAGAAAACTCGGCTACGAAAGGCAGGTAGATATGAAAAATTCCGGCTAGATTGCTGCAATAGGCTTGTGATGCAAGCGTGCGTCGATAAGAAAACAGATGCGTAGTCAACAGCGGATCAGAAGCTACAAGTTCGGAGAAAAAACAGGTTCAACAGTACGTCGGTACTGCGTACCGACGCTACGATGTCGTGCAACCACCACCAGTCGCGCGTGGGCTGACAATACTGCTAAGGTCGCCGGTTTCCTAAACATCATCAAAATGGCAAAAACTTTCGAGGATCTACAGACTTACCCACCAAGAACCTCTGCCTGCAACCGAGTTTTAACGACATCCAGAGGCTGAAGAGCCAGTGTTGATATAATCCCACCGAGACAACCAGCTGCAAAAGATGACCTGATGGACTATGGTATAAAAGATATCCGGAATCATACCTTTTCGCGATTGCTGTCGGACATGGATGGATCGGAATGATCGAAGTACTGAGCCCCGGGTGTCAGTAATTGAGGAAAACGGGAATTGGCGAAAGGAAAGACAATGCCTATGTGGGATGGCACGGCTCAGACTTGCCTCACTGCATCGAGGGGCAATACGAGTCTTCAATTAACGGTCGTCACGTTCGTGCACTAAAGAGTAAGCATACGCCTCTAGAACTTGGACGCTTGATTAATGGTTTTTGCTTCTGAAAACAGAGAAGATAAGGTGCAATTACTGCCGCTCTCGTAAAAGTGCCAAAGTTGCTACTTATCGAGCGAGTCGGCAGCTACAACGTCATATTTAAAGTAGTAAAGGGGATAGGGCGGCTAATTGGAGCGAATCGATTGTAGTGGCAATATACAAGAAGGGCAGTCGCACAGACTGTGCGAACCACAGGGGTATTAGCCTAACGCCAGTTGTGACAAAATTACTGGCCTCGATTATAGTTCGTCGCCTCACTGCAGATCGGGAATCTTGGATTAGAGGAGTAGGCCGGCTTCCGCCCAGGACGTGGCTGTATAGATCATATATTCACTTTGCGGCAGGTGCTAGAGCAGCGCCACGCATACCGCAGACCGACAATAGCTGTGTTCCTCGATTTCAAGTGTGCGTTCGATTCAGTCGATAGATCGATTCTGTTCGAAATACTTGCGCGAAATGCTGTTCCCACGAAACATGTGAACATCCTTCGTGCTCTATACTCGAACACTAGAGGTCGCGTCAGGGTCTATGGTGCCCTATCGGATAGCTTTTCCACTACAAGTGGCGTTCGTCAAGGTTGTCCGATTTCCCCGTTTCTGTTCCATTTCGTCGTGGATTCTATCATGGAGTGTTCCCTTGCGGAATCTCATGATGTAGGCATTGAAGTGCTGCCTGGTGAAAGGTTAGTTGATCTAGATTATGCGGACGATATCGTCTTGCTTTTCGACAATGTTGAGGCGGCACAATCAACCCTGAATAGCCTATCCAGAGTGATCCCATTATTTGGTATGCACTTTGAACCTTCAAAGTGCAAAGTGTTGCTGCAGGACCACCAGCCACTCGATGACCCCTTGACGCTTGCTAACGAGGAACTCGAGGTGGTTGATCAATTCACTTATCTTGGCAGCTGCATCAGCAATGATGGGCGCATAGAAACTGACGTGAGCTCACGCATTGCAAAGGCTAGAGCTGCCTTCTTGAACTTGCGTCATCTTTGGCGACAGAAGGGAGTTTCCCTCCGTATGAAAGGCCGGGTATACAAGGCCACAGTGAGGGCCGTTCTGCTCTATGGTAGTGAAACTTGGCCCCTTCGGTCTGAAGATCTGAGGCGCCTTCAAGTCTTTGATCATCGTTGTTTGCGGAGCATTGCTGGTGTCGGATGGCACCAGCGTGTCCGCAACGATGATGTGCGTAGGCGAGTACTAGGTGGTGATAATCATGCTAGCTCTCTAGATCAACAGATAGCACTGAATAAGTTGCGTTGGCTCGGGCACGTGCTACGCATGCCTGGTCACCGCTTACCTAGGAGGGCCTTGTTCAGTCTACCAGGTGTCGGATGGCGCAAGGCTCGAGGTGGACAGAAGTTGACTTGGCAGCGGGAAATGAAGTCACTGACGACCAAACTGGGTGCCGTTGGTCCGTCTCGCCTTCCGGGTTGGAGTCCATGTGACTCACCTTGTGCTTGGCTCGAGACTTTACAGGACATGGCTCGCAACCGACACCAGTGGCGCGTCTGCTGCCGTCTCCTAATCGAATTGTCTGTTTAAAGTGTGTTTGGTGCTGAGTTATCTGCAGGGTAATGGCTGATTATGACGCGTGGCAGTGAAAGCCGCAAGGAAGCTGTCTCGCCGATGCCGCCTTATCTTTGCACGATAGCCAGCTGTTTGTGACGGGTATGTTGTCTACACAAGGTGGCAGCGAAGCATCAGTTCAAATGGCTGATGTACTGCTGTTGATGATGGTGATGATAGGCCCCTATAAAATTTCCAATCGTACTGCATTTTATTACAATAGAAGATATTTTCCGTTTACATACTAGAAAACTAATGAAGGGTTTAATCAAGACATCTGGTTCGAAAGTGCACATGCTCAGCTGAAAGTCATTACCTGAGTTTTAGACGATGTGCTCACACACAGAGCAGGAAACTCGGTGCAACTGAGGTAGTTTATAATACCGACCCTTCCCAAATGACCCCTTGATCCGTACTGGTTCGTTATGGGAATTCTAAACCAGCCGGTATTTCCGCAGCATACCACGCTGGCTATCTCTGTTACCAGTTATTCGCCTTTATGCCTGCTCTATACAAGCGACACAGATTTGGAAATGTGGCACAATATCCAAAAGAAGTGTCTTAACAAACGTTATAGTAAATAAATATTTTATTTCTTAACGGTGCGAGAGACATAGGGAAACATAGGGAGACAAAGAAAAAGATCAAGAGGTATTGTTTCCCATAATGATATCCCAATACAAAAATCATTTCAACATATGGAGTGGTAACATGTACGCTTTTATGTCCATTAGCAGTGTCCTATGTTTACGGTGTTCACGAATAAGGGCAGATGAATGTACTGGTGGTAGATTCTGTTAGTGAGGTTCCTGCTGTTTATGCAAACGTTTTCGTTGCCTGCCTCCGTTGACTGCTGTCCCATCGAAGTAAACATATACAGTCTGACCAGAAAAAGGAGATATCGGTAGCACGCCGGTGCACCGTACCGACGCTCTGCTGCCAAACGACTGTCTCCAGTCGCGAGTGGGCTGAGTATACAGCGAGGTCGTCTGCACCTACGCGGCTTCGAACCGGTGATTTCTGGGTTACCAGGTAGGCTCCGTATCCTTTCGGCCACCTGCTGACACAGCCACTTTGTCTAAGGAAGATATCCAATTTGAAATACATGTTATCGCTATGTTTACAGTATTTTAATGTCGCGCAGAGAGCTTCACCAATGTCCCATGCATTGTCAATAAATTGAAATGATTGTGGACCCTGTCCAATATCGCAAAGCACCGTATTCTATCACCCCCAGAAGTCAGGATTCGAATGAAATTGGCATGCAAGAAGAAACCCACTGAGGCAGACTGTTTCTTCAAACTACTCAAAAATTTAGATGTATTAATTCTATGCATTAGATAGAAGTGAGAAATACCGCAGCCATTGTGTCGCAATACAATCCAGGCGGCAGCAAAAAATAAAAAAACCAACGAACAGAACTGAAACAAAAATATTACAATACTACATTTTATACCATGAATTAACAACGAAATGGTGGTTAGAGGGGAGGGCTAGACAGGATGGGGCATGATACGAAAAGTCACAACACAGACGTCATTGTGGTCGACTCTTCACCATATAGACAAGTGTATGCAACCAAACGTGTTCGTCTTCAGGAACCCAACCAGGAAGTCGGGAAGCTCAACCGAGGTCAAATTCGAGGTGAGTGGCCGGCCCGCAGCCTAAAGGATCACACGGTCGCCTTTTAGTCCGAGGGCACAGGTTCGAGCCTGTGTAGGGGAACGGGCGGCTCTCGCAGTATCTTTAGCCCACGCGCGACTGTTAGTAGTTGCGTGGCAGCGAAGCGTTGGTACTGCGTACTGCAGATATAGATATTTTTTATCGATCTCGAGGTGAGGGACTTTATTACCATAGACTAAGTCACCGGATGACTTTCCCACGTCTCCGAACATCTAAATCTCGGTCGCACAAACAATGCACGTCGTGGAAGTCGGTGTGCTGGTATGTGTAACACGTCGCAACAAAATCGGACCTTAACGAGATGCGACGGTTTGCGTACTTTTCGACTGGATACCTCCCCTGGATCCCTTGAGAGCAACTCCGACCAAGTTAAAGGTAAGAGGTTCTCCAGATAGGGAGGGGGAAAAGGAGCCATAAGTTACAGGTGGCGCGGTTCCATTCTGGATTGCCGCTCGTACTGGAGTACCTGTGTCGACTCTGACCATGCCTTGGTGCGCTGTCGTTTCTCCATGAACTTTACCGGAAGGCGCACAAAGCGTCTCCCCCGATTGGCAACGGAGAAATTGTCCCAGCCCTCTGTCAGGCAAGCCTATAAAGAAGCACTGCATAGCGAACTCTCGCTGTCTTGTCCTAATGATACTGAACTTCAGTGGAATAGGATCTCGGCCACTATGCACGACGCAGGAGCATCTGCTTGTGGCACTATCAGTCGTCATCGCACCAGTCACTGGATATCCGAGAGGTCCGTGAACCTTTTGGAAGCTAGAAGGCACCTCCCGGCTGGTTCTGAACACAATGTGACCAGACGGGCTATTAGGCGTGAACTAAAGCGGAGCCTACGTGCTGACAAGGAAGCCTGGTGGACCAGTCGGGCTCAAGAAATGGAGGAGGCAGGAGCAGTAGGCAGTTACCGGAAGCTCTTCCAGCTAATACGCACCACTGGTCCGAGAAAACCAGGCGTCAGTGAGACAATCAGGGACAGCGCGGGTGCGCTGATACACAATAAGGAGCGCCGTATGGCTAGTTGGGCTGAGCACTTTGAACATCAATTCAGCTGGCCCCCTGCTCCCGGACCTCTTCCTACTCAGGTGATGCAGGACGAGCCATGGACGGTTAGTTTAGAGCCTCCGTCGGAGGCCGAGGTCCGAAACGCGATCACAGCCCTCAATCGTTTTCGTGTCTGCTGGCCCGGATTCCCTCCCACCTGCACTATTTAAGGATGGAGGTAAGGTCCTCTGCAAGGCACTGACCTCCCTATTCGAACGTATCTGGAACAAAGAGAGTGTGCCGGCTAATTGGAGCGAATCGATTATAGTGGCAATATACAAAAAGGGCAGTCGCACAGACTGTGCGAACCACAGGGGTATTAGCCTAACGCCAGTTGTGACAAAATTACTGGCCTCGATTATAGTTCGTCGCCACACTGCAGAACGGGAATCTCGGATTAGAGAAGAGCAGGCCGGTTTTCGCCCAGGACGTGGCTGTATAGACCATATATTCACTTTGCGGCAGGTGCTAGAGCAGCGCCACGCATACCGCAGACCGACAATAGCTGTGTTCCTCGATTTCAAGAGTGCGTTCGATTCAGTCGATAGATCGATTCTGTTCGAAATACTTGCGCGAAATGCTGTTCCCACGAAACATGTGAACATCCTTCGTGCTCTATACTCGAACACTAGAGGTCGCGTCAGGGTCTATGGTGCCCTATCGGACAGCTTTTCCACTACAAGTGGCGTTCGTCAAGGTTGTCC